CGTGGCATACAGAAAGACAGACAGACGAAGGCGTTTATTAGGTTGTTTCAGAAAGATTCTGTCGATTTTCTGACATTCCACTTTTGGATGCTTTATTTCCTTGAATATAGGGAAAGCTGCCAATTGATGTGATGTCATTGAAGAACTTTTCCAGCTCTATCCCAATGCTTGGCAAACTTTATCCTTAAAATATTTTGCTTACCCAGATGAGTCTCCCGTCAAACCGCCGGGACCTTCCTTTCACTGCGCAAGCTTTCTAGTTCTCGCTATGGTCCTTCCTACCTGTGACACCACACTCGTGGAAGTGACGCGTATGCCAACCAATGGTGTATTCAAAACTAGAGCGACACAATCATGATATGACGGAATAGATTGTTTCGCTTCCCGCCTCTTCTCGCCTTCCATTCGTCCACTGCCCCTCCATGGCCACTGAGCACCATGTGGAATGAACGGAAGTGTCCTAAGCAGGATGTTTATATAGCCCTAGCGTTATCACAACTGATACTGCTACAAAACATTGATATCTCAAATCCTGTAAGCTACCCAATTTGTTAGCGTTTGTTTATCCATGAGATTCCTTTCTCCACTCACTTCATTTGTGCGGTCGGAACACACACACACACATACAGATACACAACCGAACACCAAGTTTAGACCGCTTATTACTATAGTAGAAGCTTTTTCAAAGCTTTGAATCAGGTATACTCGAGCAGAAGCAAGCTTGGCATGACTTTCTTTGTCTAGCTTTAAATAGTAGACCTGAAAGTGGCGAGGGATCAGTTCCAAAGATATCACGATTGCTGTGGGCCTAGATGGTGCAATAATGTGGCTCAGAAAGCGTAGTTAAAATTATATGCTAGGGAAGGCGAGGCCTTGGAATTGATGAGAGTAGTGGCGACAGTCGGACGGTGTCCGCATATAGCCAAAAAGCTTCTGGATTGAAGCACTTAGTGCGTAATACCATAAGATGGGGCGTTCTGCCAACGTGGGCGTATATGCTTTGTACAGCCAAGCTATACGGAAGAAGCTGGAAGTTCTAAGAAAATTCGCTAGTGCGCTGCCGCGACAAAGCACAAGTTTTGACGCATCGGTCCATCAAATGGTCGCTGTTTATGTGGTGAAAGCGACTCGTGTCTCTACAGATTATGCGACGTACAATAAAGAGCGGCATTTTCTCTATAGTTACGAAAGATTTGCCTGAAATAGATCGACGCGAGATAAGCTGCGACAAACTTTGCAGATTTAACTATGCGTGAGAGGAGGTTGTGGCAGCTTTCATTGGGCAGCGGCTGGCATGTTCTTTCAGTATCAGATGGAACTGTTACAGTGGGATCACATCTTTATATGATTCAAAAATCATCAAGAAACTTGAAGCATGGGTCCAGCATTCTCGATTACAAAGGAACGCACACATCCCTGAAAGGGTATTGAACGCACATCGCACACGGCCAGCCCTTCACAAGTTTTGACCAGCTGGAACTTCAGCAGTGGCTCCGTGGCGAACATCTTACTTAGTAGACTGAACTATACTGCTCAAACCTTCTGACGAGCTCGATAGCTTCGTGAGAGAAATACATCAAAAAACAACATTGATGCTAAACGTCATCCTCAGTTCATCGCTCCACGAGCAAGTCCAGCATTTCCAAAGAAACGTACCCTGGATAGAACGGTTCTTATACGAACAAAAATTGCGCTTTTAAATAGGTTTTTTAAATCGAACTCGAAAGGTTTAGTCCCAAGCCGTGAGATACGTGGCATTATAAAATTACGGCGCTGCGGGAAAACGCACAGAACTTTCTGAAACACCTTGAATAAAAGTACTATGAGCCTTTCATATTATAAATTCGGACCGTCTGCATCGTTCTTGTGAAAAAGTGTTAGCTCTCTCAACTCTGATAACTGTAAAGTTTACTTTGGTACGTCAGAGGGACTCAACGAGAAGCTTTCGGAATAGGTGTGAAGAAAAAGAAATGAATGGTTTATACAGTTGTACCACACGTAGTTGATAATCTTTTTCGCAATAATTGGGAAAATTTTACACATCGAGCGAATCCTAAATGTTCCGTCGTCTGCCTCGCAAGGGTTGTCTACGCTGATCACAAATAACGAAATTAGTTGCTGGTGTCATTTATTCTCATTCTAGGATACAATTTTAGCCAGTTTCAGCTGAACTTAGCGCACGGGGTCATTGCTGACTCCTGGTCACGACAATGACCAGTCAGACACTCAGTTTGGCACTGGTTGCAGTTGTGAGGCACAAGATGGAGGTGTCCAGTATAAAATGCAAAAATCTTGGCGCGGGAGGATACCGAACCACCCACACCAGGTCCACGCGTGCCCACCACCGGTACACAACACTATCCGCCAAGCCATCCGTCGCTACCGACATCCAAGCTGCAGATAGCTGTCATGAATCTTCCGCACACTCCTCAACATGTAGCATGACAGGGATCCATTCTTGGCTAAACCTCACGTTATTTTCGATGCACAGTTCACTATGACCTTTTACTATGTCTATAGTTGACGCCATGAATGAAACACACCACGTTTAACATTAAAAACTGCGGTTTCCAACAAAATGATTTTCACTCCTTTTTGGCATTCAGAAGGCCATTTAGCGGAAATGGATCATAGATCTGTGTTCACTGCACCTGCCCCTATTTCATGACAAAAAACCGTTTTCAAAAAGCGCTCCACGCCCTGAACGACCTCCCCTCGTTAGAGCCATGAAGAAATTGTACAAGTTGGCAAACATGAGTTAGATGACGTTGCTCGTAAGACATATGTGACCATCTGCCAGAATTTCCTGTCTAAAAGTCCAACTTTTGCTCAACGTTACTTTTGAATGACTAGACAAGTGGTTATCGGGGTTGAGAAGAGTGCAGTCTATTCGAGCAATATACGGAGACGTCAGCGAAGACATGCAGCTCAGCAACGAACTCCAAGAACTGACCTTTACCTGAAAAAAGATCCGCTACCCGGTTGATTTATTGCATCATTACAGACTTTAACCACCACAGCTTGCGCAGGCATCTATTGCCTACAGACGCGTAGACTTGTTCGGATATCGACAACTTGGGGCTTCCAATAGGTGTAACGTTCCCCTGCGCAAACATCCGCCACCCACATGAAACGAGCGGTAGCCAGAACATTATACAGAAATATGAATTCATGATTCAACTCCCCCTCTTCATAGTGCGAAGAGGGTGTACCAGGCATTCAGCAGTTGTTTCGTTTGCTTGCTCGTTCCACGCAGGAGAAAAGCTGCGATAATTGCGAGCACTTCGGAACAAACATAATGATTCCTCGTTTGAAGTCTGCGCATTTCTGGGAGTAGAGCACCATTTACTTACGTATGGAGGAAGGACAGTTGTAGAGCATATGAAGCACTTAATAAAAACAGTTCTGGGGAGCTTTGTCAAATTTTGAAAGTCGATATCAGATCGGCACTTATTTGTGACTCCAATTCCTCTACAGCGATTTCGACAGGAGGGAGGCATCCGTCCGTATGTCACCAGCGACGCATACCAACTTTTATGTCATTCTTTGACAGTATATCAATCATACCTTTATTAGCCCACGCTATGGACAAACTCTGAATGCTTACGATAGGGTCAGCTCGACATGCACTGAACTAATTTTACGATCACGGCTTAGTTTTACGACCTGTGTAGAAGAACGCGAAGAGACTCCCACACAGACTGAGAACTTGTTGACAGCTAAAGACATTGCAGATAAGTTGTTCCACTCAAAAGCGCCAATTACAAGCAACGCCGGATGTAATGAAGGCCTTTGAATTTACTTTGTCACTGCAGTTACCGCCTACAACGCATATCGCAAAACTTGTCAAAAGCAACACAAATGAGCTTAATTCTCGAATGAGAACTTGGTGCTATGCCGTCTGGACATCTGTATGCAGCTTCATCATTTATCCAAAAGTTTGTTCATAAATGCGAAGCCTGAATGCATTTGATACGTTCTTTATTTTCATAAACTGTTATGTGGTTATAATGTCTCATTACCGGTATTTTTCGTCCAGAAATGTACGTCAATGAAGCAATCTTAATCAAGAGTCTTGTCTGAAGTGTTTTCGATTGTGTGGAATAGGTACTTGTTACTGAGGATTTCCTCAGTTGGATCAAAACTCCTCTCATTTTTTATACTGAAGTTTCACCTTACGATTAGTAGTCGGACAATTAGGATTAAGGCAGGGTAGCAGTGGTGTCCGAATGAGGAAAAAAAGAACGGCCCCGAGTCCGAGAAAGGGGTCCGCTTCTTTTCCGTCGACCTCCTCATTGATGCGACCTCATCGGTGCTGCAGTGTTCGCCTCGGTCCGCACCCTTACAAGGGGAGTCCGTCAAGACGAATCACGCTTTATTCTGCACGGTTTTCTGCATATTGTAGGGAGCATGTAGGGAATGCCAAAACCATTGTTTCATTTTTTGCTGAACGGTTTGAGCAGCAGTACAAAAAAAAGAACCGCAAGGTACTGAATGGGTTCGCTCCCGTAAAGACTAACAATTCTGCACTTGTGTTGCAACGACAGGTTGGTGGCCAACCACTGTTGCTAATGTCAAATTCAGATGAAATATTCATCGTCAGGGCACGAACCCACGAGTGGACGCTGACCAGTCTGTACTGAGGGCGAAATTCCTGGGATCGCGAACACCCTACTCGAGCGGAATCATTCCCAACTGACTTTATACTACTGGAAACCTAAAACCCTTAATATTTGGTACATATCAAGACGAATAATCAGACGAAAATCATGGTTCTTAGTCCATCACATGCGAATACCTACAATAATACATCATCATACCTTCCCAAAGCGCCAGTAACCGTGGCAAGTCTCCTCCTTAGTTAGAAGCTTCGTTCATTCTTTCCACTAGGCAACGTCTCCCTCGCTTCCGACTTTTCGTGAGATCCCTAATAATTAAACGCCAAACAGTAAACCGCAGGCAAGGAAGCAGATTTCACTACAAAAATGGATCATATAAAGGAAAGAAGCTCAACAAAATAGCCCATGATAACCAACGTAAAGCCGCAGACGCCATGCAGTACTAGTAAACGGACTACTCCTCTCCCTCGAGTGGTCTTCTCGAGTGGCGAGTGCAGGATATTTTCAAATAACGTATATGAGACATTCTACTTACTTGCCGACGTAGAGGAAGGTCCAATCCTCTCACGTAACTCTCAATACTAAACTCTCTAATAAATACTTCTCACTAACGACACCCGTTTTATCGTTGCATTAAAAGGCACCAAAACCCAAGTCTTCCGCACGCATCGCTAGATATCTGGTGCATCGGCCTAACAGTAAATTTCCCGCGTCAAAGAGTAACTCTTTGGGCTGAACGAAGACAGCTCTTTCACGAGCTAAATCTGACGGTCTTTTCAAGACCTAGAATCTTAATTGATTTCACCCTCATCAGGGAAACTCCAAATACCACGTACCTCGGAGAAACTTCTGTAGTTTTTAAACATCAGAAATTTGGTTTTCACACGGAAATCGCGCAAAAAATGGAGTTGCCTTCCACAGATCCAATCATAACAGGCAAAGAGCTGAAGAATCTGATTTTCTAGATACACAGAGTATATCAAAGAAAGTAGAATATCCTAAGAATAGATGAGACAAACTACGCAAATGAAACCAAGTTGCTAAAGAAGAAACTAACCTCCTGAGCTTGCAAGCGGATATATGAATCCAAATAAAAAAGAGGGCAAGAGAATGACTTAATAAAACTCTACAATGAGAATACAGAGAAGAATCTAAAAATGGCAAACATAGTCCGAATTAAAAAGGATTTAATGCTGAAATACCATCGCGGCGAGTCACACGTTACGCACAAAGGAACTGGCTAGTCGCAGTATGAACGTTGTCTTTATGTAACGGCGCACGATCCGCCGAGTCAAATGTGCAAGGGATGAGACCTGAGTGTAAAACTCGGCTTCATTAACCCAAAGCGTCCTAATATCTGCAGAAAATGCCTCATCCGAAGAGCCAGATCAGCAGACTGATCGAACCAAGACCAAAATTCCACACGAGGTAAACCCAAAGCGGCGGAAGTGCCAATCACAAGGTACCCTCAAGGCTCATCTGGTGACTAGCTGGAGTACAGTGATAACGCACTCCCGGTCATCAAACCTCCCCAAGGCTACGTAGCCTACGTTCGACGGCAATGTAGAGGGATTTTCCGGATACTGGGCAATTTTTGAGGCCTTGTCCATACAGTCAGGAACTAGACATCATGGAAGATCTGCTCCTCATGAAGTCTCAAGGGTAGAGCGGCCAGTTCAATAAAGGGAATAATTGGCTTGTGGCCAAGCAAATTATGAGTGGATAATTTCAACATTGAAACAGAATTACTGACAATCAAGCGCTGCAAATCAGGTCACAAAGTAGTGCAGAAACTAATCAATTTGGACCGCAGCAAACACTCTGGGCAGGAGTTGTTCTGCCGCTTCGACCAGGTAGAATATTACATCAATCAGCCTGGTGTCTTCCGTTATGACGTGCGAAAAATTGGACCCAATGTGGTGCGAAACAATTTTGGCTAAACAGTTTCGCCCACGATATAGTCAAGCGCTGTCTTGTTACGAATCGAGAGCAAGACATGCAAACAATGACGACGCTCCTCCGGTCAGCTGACAAATAAGCGATTGCCGCAAAAGGCTACGTGAGAGCAGATTGGGCCACAAGCATAATCATTAATGCCCCTCGGCCAAAGTATAAGTAGCCAACACGTCTTATTCTGCGACAAATGTCTGTTCTCCAAGGGTAGTCATGCCTCATTAACGTGGCTAGACAGTCCTGACGAGCAAGAAGTCGCCGAAAAAATATAGCGGATGGCCACAGGTGTGGAGTGTTTGCTCATCCAAACGCAGCAGTTTTGACTGTCTCAAACCAGACTGTCACAAATGCGGCAAAAGCATACCCAAGCATTTGTCTTCAAGAAGAGAAAGGTGGAGCAGAAAGAAGCGAAGCACCTTCACATTAGTGAAGAAGTAGTGCTGGTTTACAACCAAGTTAGGTGGGCCAGTTACAAGTGAGCTGGGAATCATCTGGATAAAGAGACCCCAGCAGTATGCAAACAACATTCCAAATGTGCTCCAACGTAATTAGTGAGTTCGGCACAAAATCCGGAAAAAATCCCCCCTCGCAACTTGTTCTTATACTGCCGGAGGCAAAGTCCTGGACGCCCTAATGAAGGAGACGTACGAGAATGTCCTCCTTTTTCGACAGCAGGCGCTCAAAAACTGTTATTGAGGAATCCTCGCGACGGTCTGGGCTTATAAGGTCAGACCACTGAAGTGTGGCTCAATGTCAGGCATGAGGTTACATTGAGGGCGCTTCAAAAGCCACGCTGTAAAATGTAAAACTAAGCACAGTATTTGGGCGAAGAGCTCGAAATGAAAGTTCGGACACCGCAGTTATCACTAGAGAATTCAAGCGTGAGCTGATTTGCTACTGATATTGCGTTTTTGAAAGAGAAGCATATTTGCTTATCTAACTCACAAACTTCGTGGAGGAGTCAAAACCTCACAATTCTCGGTGAGACTAGACTATTACCACGAGCTGATCATCCAAATCAGTAATGTGCAACGCCCCTCAGCCTTCACATTAGCAATACTTTATTTGGACCCACCATTTATGGGATAAGGTGCCTTACATGCAAACCCCAATGACACAGCGTGCTATGAAATGACACACATACAAGAATCTAGAGATATTCATAGAGATTGATCAAATTTGAATCTCCACAAACAGCAGACCCCTGACGAAGATAAATCCTCCCGACACCCTCAACGAACTTCTGCACATGGTCCATTCACGGATTACCGCAAGAAGCATTGTGGATTTCGGTTCTTCTCCGAAGAGAAAGCATCCGATTCGATTGAATTGGAAACTCTGTCATCGATATCTGCGGATCAGCCCTGCGCGGTTAAATCACAATATATATCTAAAAACAAACAGTTAGAGAATTATCCGTCAGTGGCTCGCCCAACATCTTTCCATCGCCGTCCTATCCACATCACCATCGTCAAGCGTCGCGCCTCCGCCATTATTTCAACTACACTAACAAAAAGCAGTCTAATGTGTCACGAGCTGACTCAAACCGAGCGCGCTTTCATTCTCCACGAGCTGGTCAAGAGCGAAACACTTATTTCATAATAGATGGCACATATCACCATATAATTCGTTGCCCACGGGATGTCGAATACGAAAATGCCGTACGCATAAGCAGTACGAATATAGCCGAACTCAAACTCCTCTCACCTCCGTAGGCGAAAAAGATCGATTTTATCTCAGAGTGCGAGCGAGTGCGGAGTATTGCCTTAAAAGATACCTGAGAAATTCATACTTCATGACAGAGCGTACGCGAACGTCTATCTCCACGTGCTCTCAATATCTCTCATTATAGTAATAACATTAGTTGCCACACTAAAGAGTCAACGCCACCGTTTTATCGTTGACACTCTTAGAAAAGGGTCAACCAAACAAAGCACAAGTCTATACGCGACACCCTCCAACTAGGACCTCACTAAAAACTCCCAGCCCAAAAAACAAATAAAGTTTATAGAATGCTCCTTATTCTCTCAAAGCTACGCTCTAAAATGGCGCTATGGAATGGGCGTCGAAAAGCTCCCTACCTTGGAGGAGAGACCGGTACTTCAATCACAAAGCGAGACCACGCGATGACCAAACACTACGCTGTGCTGTCCGCGCTGACTAGCCGATAATACGTTTGCGGGCGCCGCGCTGTAATGAGGTCGATTCATAAGAACGCAATTGAACGCGCTATCATTTCGATTGCTGCAAGTAGTTATGTATTGGCCACTGCAGCTATTTACTGCCAGCAGTTGCAATTAAAAGCGCATGTGACTACGCCGAAGGCAGGTTCGGACAACTCGTCCACCCACGTACTCACACTAAAACGCAGAGTACGAACGCATGTCCCTGTCTCAAGCCTCCAGTTGGGCGTTTTTCTTCACTTTTTCTCCTTTACATTCGACGCACTTTTCACGCCTTTAAACTTCCATGATAGGTGTTTTGGCCCGTCATATTCGTTCCTGGGACCGTTGCTTTAACTCACGGTTTGTATTACTTACAAAAACGGAGTTCCCGAAAAAAAGTGAGGGAGACGCAGCAGCAGAATACTGCTTGGAGGTAGTCGCGTCAAGACAAATCACGCTTTTTCTGAACGGTTTTTGCATATTGTAGGGAGGCATGTAGGGAATGCAAAGCCATGTTTAATTTCGCTGAACGGTTTAGCAGTACCAAAAAAGAAGCGCAAGGTACTGAATGGTTCGCTCTCCGTGACGACTAAATTCTGCACTTGTGTTGGCGACGACAGGTTGGTGCCAACCCAAATGTGCTTAATGTCAAAATCAGATGAAATATTCATCGTCAGGACCACGAACCCCACGAGTGGACGCTGACCTTGATTGCGAAATTTCGGGGGATCGAACTACTGAGGGAATCATTCACCACCTATTTGATACTACTGAAACGTTCAGCGAAAAACATGGTTTCTTAGTCCATACATGCGTACCTACAATATGCAAGATAACGTTTCCAAAAAGCGCGGCTCACCGTGGAAGTCTCTCCTTGTTAGAGGCTTCGTCATTCTTTCCACTAGGAAAGCCTCCCCTCCTTCGACTTATCGTGGAATCCTCATTTAACTCACGGTTTGTATTTACTTCAAAAATCGAGAGGTTACGAAAAAAGTGAGGGAGACGCAGCGCAGAATGCGTAAATGAACCACAAATCCACCAGGAAATTATAATTAGTAGACGAGTTCGTCCTAGGCTCGATATGAGAAATTGATCATTCACATATGCAGGATGTTTTCAATATTATCAAATTGACTGGCTCGAGAGATTCTGTACAAATCCCCTACATTTGTGCACCATTTTCCAATTTAATTTCCAGTTATAATTTATCTCCATTTAGTTTCTTATTTTATTTTCTTCAATTCGCCTTCTGCACATCGCCATTGCTTGATAATTTCGGATTGGTGATATCTCGCCTGGAAATGAAACTACAGTTCGAAACGATC